TGGTGATGGTGGTGGTGAAGGTGGTAAATGTGAAGGTGAAGGAGATGATGGTGGTGAAGGTGAAGGAGATGATGGTGGTGAAGGTGAAGGAGATGATGATGATGGTGGTGAAGGTGAAGGTGGTGAAGGTGGTAAATGTAAAGGTGAAGGTGAAGGAGATGATGATGGTGGTGAAGGTGAAGGAGATGATGATAGTGGTGAAGGTGAAGGTGGTGAAGGTGGTAAATGTAAAGGTGAAGGTGAAGGTGATGATGATGATGGTGAAGGTGATGATGATGGTGGTGGTAAAGGCAATGATGATGGTGGTGGTGAAGGTGATGATGATGGTGGTAAAGGTGATGATGGTGGTGGTGAAGGTGGTGGTGGTGAAGGTGATGATGATGGTGGTGAAAGTGATGGTGGAGGTGGTGAAGGTGGTGGTGGTGAAGGTGGTGATGATGAGGGGTGGTGGTGGTGAAGGTGAAGGAGATGATAATGAGGATGGTGATGGTGGTGGTGAAGGAGATGATGGTGATGGTGGTGACGGTGGTTGTGAAGGAGATGATGATGATGGTGGTGAAAGAGATGAGGATGATGATGATGATGGGGGTGGGGGGGGGGGGGGGGGGGGGGGGGGAGTGGTGGTAGTAGCAGCAGTAGTCACGGTCATGGAGATGGAGGCGGTCATGGTAATGTTCATGGTCATGCTGCTGCTGCTCATGGTCATGGTCATTGGTGTCACGGTCACACTGCTGGTGGTCATGGTTGTGATCATGGTGGTGGTGCCTCCTTGGAGGGACAGTGATGCAAGCCTAAACTGGCCTCTCTCTCCCAGCAGCAGGTCCCCATTCCACAATGCCTTTGCTTGAAAAGCCAGGTAGGCCCCAGAGTGGTGTTTTGCAGCCAAGGGGATGCTAAAAGGATGGATTAAAATTGCTTGGGGGTGTTGAATACCTTATGGAGGTCAGCTCTGCCCAGTCAGTGGTTTGTCACTATAAAATCCCCTATGCACCAAGGGGACCCGTCCCGTGAAGGTCCCGGCCTCCTCCAGCCCTCTGCGGTGTCGTCAACGTTCATTGACCTTCTCAGCAGGTTTGGGGGTTCAGATGGAATGCCATCCCAGCAGCTTCTTGGTGCCCCCTAAAACCAAGGGCAGTTGGTGCCAACCTGCAATAATCCAGGAGGAGAGGGGAGGCTCTGCCCAAATAACGCCCCGTGCGCCTGGCCGGGGCCACGTCCCCTTCACATCCCGCTGCTCCGCGCGGGCAGCACAAATCCCATGCCAGGAGCTGAGGTATTTAACCTTTAAAGCAGTGGGTCCTGCACTATTTATTCTGCTGCTCTTATCATTCCCAAGTGTGACAAGTTTGGAAAAGGGCTATTATGTTCCTAAAAATGTAATCATATAATGTGCGTGTTTTATACAGAAAACGGTGAGCAGGTGTTGATGAAAAATGAAAGCTATTTGCAAATCTTGTAAGTACCTTTTCATAAAAGCTGACACAAAGGAACTCTTTCACACTTCTAGTTCATCTTTTGTTCTGCTTGATTTACATTCAAAGTACATCAAAATACATTACAGAAATACAGATAGAGCTGAACGTTTTTGTATTTTATAGGAAAAATAAAGATCAGAGAAAGAGACTCGTCCATGAAATCTGTTCCTTTTTAGACAGCAGTCAGTCTGTAAGTAATACTTACAAAAGCATTCTTAGAGACATTCCTAATATGTTATTGATATGCAGACTATTGATGTGAAATTTATATATGGAGAGCAGAGATATAAAGTTTGTTCATACAATTTCTATGGCAGTGTAGCTAAGTTGTTGTGTTACACACTTCCTGCCTTTATAAAGCTGAACACAATTAATATCTTGCAATTAATTTTAACATTACAGGAATAGAGTCAGTATAAGTAAATTATATATTAACTTTATGATTTTTTTATTGCTTAGGCATCAATTTCTTACTGTTACTGCAAACTAAACACCAAAACCCAAACTTACAGGTTTTTAAAACCAGGCAAATGTGCTTAATCAGCCCTAAAGAAAGCTGATGTTGAGAATATATGAAGTCAGTACTGATTTTATGTTCAAACCATAATGCTTTTTTTCTCTACTAGGTCCAAGAAATTGATGCTTTGAGGACAGAAAATAGGAAGCTAAAAAATGCGGTACATCTTTTACATTTTTATTTAAGTTTGGAAGCAGTTTGTTGTATGCCATTTTTTTCAGTTGCACTGGGAATAATCACATCAATTTAACACCTTGAGGTCCTTTACTGTACAGACTTCACTGTTAATGTTTCTGTATTTGTGCCCAATGCTGTTTTCATTCTCTTTTCTCTTCCTCAGAACTCAAGGCTGCGATATAAAACAAAAGGTATGTTACCTGAAAAGCATCTAAACATTTTCCAATGGGAAATTTTGTTTCATTAACATTTGCTAAATTAACAACTGAGTTAAGATCAAGCATCTATTACTAAAGATCTTTTTATGCAGCAATATGAAAGGAAAATAGTGAAAAAGGAGGAATTGAGCATACTTGTAAAACTAACTGCTAATAAAGTGAGCTGGATTTGGCTTACATGTAATTTAGATTATATAAATTCTTACCCAGTAATGATACTTATTTGCAGAAGTACTGAATACCTGCAGCTTCTATTTAAGACCATGGGAAATTGTGTGGAAACAGAAATCTGTGTGGGAAGGATTTCTGCCTTAGGCCCCAGCTTTGCCATAACCACCCCTGAAATCAGTACGTGACATTTTGCAGTCAGGTGTGTAGATCATTCATAGCCAAGCACACTGAAATGAAAGAAAAGTCTATTAAGATATAAGCAGAATAATTTGTCCTCATTTCTCCAACCCATCTGGTTGGAAAATAATAGTGAGTTTTAGTATGAGTTTGCTAGATGGAGCTTCATCTTTTAGTTTGGGTAGCAAAAATAATGTATCATTCCTTTTTCTTCCTAGATTGGGCATTAAGGAAAGAAGAGTATAAAAAGTAAGGATCAGAATTACCTTGCATTGAGTTAAAATGATATACAACTGAGCTAAACTAACGTGGCTTTGTGGTTTAGAAGGGCAGAGCGAATTTCACCCTTGATTAATAAATCTTTCCAATTTCTGGTGGCTAAAGTTCTGTGACAAATTGATGTCTTTATCGGCTTTGTACTTCAGAATTGTTCTGACAAGTAACACATTTATTTGCATTTTGCTTTGTTTTCAAAGTGAGATCGAGAGACTTTCTGGCGAGATATCCAACTACTTAAATGTCACCAATTTCTGGGTAAATATATCAGTATCATGAAAAATTTAGAGAGGGTTTTAATGAGATTAAATGTCCTCTTGAAGATAGATTTTTGCTGAATGCTGCAGTGACATGACAAATAGGTAGAGCAAAGGCAGGAAGCCCTAGAGACATTAATTGTGAAAACGTCTGGAGTTTGTGCCATTTGTTTGTAGAGACTGGACAAGTGTCAAAACCAGTTAAAAAATAAATCTGTATCCCAAAATGGAGCACAGGAAAACAAATTATAAACTGGGGCCTTAGCTTGTCCACCTGCATTAGAGAAACACTTGCTAGTGATGCATATGTGAAGCACAAGACTTTTATGTAAATTCCCACGTGGACATTTTAAGCCTCATAAAAACACCTAGCTTTTTATACTTGCTTTTAAAACAAACTGTATTTTTTGTTTAGTATGAAGATTCGGAGCTTCTGAGTGGCCCAGGTATGTTATTTTTAGTAACTGAAAGAACTGCTAAAATAGTTACAAAGCAGGTTCCCCTTTCTGTGTTAAACCCTTATGCATTTGCTCAGTTACATACCTAAGTGATACGCTTCCTATCTACTTTTTAGCCATCATAATATTAACTGATTTAAAATGAAGACATTTGCATATTAGGAGTCTGAGCAGGATAATTATAGAGATTATAACAAAAGCATTTTGAATTCAAAGTTAAAACTTGGATGTCAAGCACGCAGCCTGCAGGGAATTCTAAACATTAAGGTGACTGTACTTCTATTTTTAAATTAGCAGATAAGAAAACACCAAGGGAACAGACCAAACATGTGAGGTGAGCAATGGGAAATGTTTGCTTTACCAACGCCTCTCAGAATAACAACAGGAAATAAAGCTGTAAAATATTTGCACTTGCTTGGTTTAGGAAGCACTTTTTAAAAACTATTCTCATCAGTAATTTACGTATCGATTTTAAATAAAACACTGGAATTTAGCAAGAAACTTGTATCAGCTTAGAGTAAATAAGCAATTAACAGAAATAGTCCCCAGATACCACTTCTGGGGCAAACTAT